CGGATGCCAACGCATTCGCACGACCGCCTATCATCCGCAAGCGAACAGCATGGTGGAACGTTTCCACCGACAGTTGAAAGCCTCACTTAGCGCCGCCAATGCGCTGAGTTGGACTGAAGCGCTGCCTATGATCCTCCTTGGGATCCGATCAGCCCTAAAGGCCGATCTACGTACGTCCAGCGCCGAGTTAGTATATGGACAACCACTGCGTTTACCTGGCGATTTCTTCTCCGTTAGTTCCAGAATTACCCGTTACGACGCAAATTATGCACGTCAGCCAGCCAAAAGCATGCGTCAGTACAAGCTTCCTGACGTTAGAGAACAACAACGTAAATCTTATATTCCACAATACCTGCAGCATTGTCCGTTCGTTTTTCTCCGCCTCGATGGTCTCCGCAGACCACTGGAGCGACCTTACGAAGGTCCTTTCAAGGTTCTGCAGCGTAAGGACCGCGTTTTTATCATCGACCGTCACGGTAAACGCGAAGCCGTTACAATTGACCGTCTCAAGGTTGCCCACGTGGAACCTGAGCTCGACGAAGACCCTTACTCGTCTTCTAACGAATCAACGCAGCCTATGATGGAAGACTCGACTGCTTCCAACATTCCTGACCCCAAGTATCACGCTCCATCCAAGCCTTCTACTTCAGCTCCGCCGCTTCCCATCGAACCAACTGCCACGTCTTCAGCAGTTCCTCCAATTTTGCGATCCGATAGGACGTCTAAGACCACGCCTTCCTTTGATTCGAACAAGTCGACTAGGTCGGGTAGACGCGTTCATTGGCCAGCTCGATTAAGGGATTAGTGCTTCTTTCACTTTCCTTATCGTTTTTCTTTTCCCTTTTGGCCAACAACGTACCAAACCCCCCAAAAGCTTTTGAAAACGCCAAAAAAACCGACAAAATTTTTTTTGAAAACCCAAAAAGAACGCAAAATGTTTTGAAAACCAAAAAAAGAACAAAACGTTTTGAAAACACAAAAAGCTGCGTTTTGCCTGACGCTTACCTCATCCGGTAAGTGTCACTTTTGCTTTTGCCCTCGCCCCCACCGTCACTGCTCTTGTTTCCGTCTATCTTCCATGTATGAACCGGAGGAGATGCCGAGGCTGAAGCGAACACTTGATCTTCACGAACTCGCGAACATTTAACCCTTACGAACTTCCCCCATTTTGTGTTTTTGGCACCGTTAGGGAGGACACGGGTGGGAGCCCGCTAGGGTCCGATCGCCTGGTTCTCCCCCAGCAGCTGCATCAGGTTTCACTACCTGGTCTCGCAGAAGGCTGGCCCGCGACGGATAGTCCTCACGTAGATCGAAGGGTCACCCACGGTTTCCCTTCTAGGAGGGGGGCTGTGCAGCGACCTGGAGATTCCCCGGTATGACTGTGTAAACTATTCTTAAATACATTCAAATTATAGCTTTCTTATGTATTAGGGAACTAGGCGGTTTGCCTGTTGGAACGTTGTTCCCGTTTGTTGAAAACACGAACGCCAGCTCCGCCTTTGGCGCGCGCGACTCGATTGCGAACGACGCTCTGTCAACGCACTCGACGCCATCGACATTCTCCCTAGCTAGCTCTCTCCGGGTGCCCTATTTTTAGCATTAGCTAACGCTCCTCCCGTCCAATAAACTTTTCCCTAGCTTACTGTTGTGTCTTCTATCCATTATTTTTGGTTGGCCGTCTAGTCGCGTACCGGATATATAGCGCACGATCTACGCGCTATAAACTGTCTCGTGGAGCCAGTATGGACGAGGTAGTGGGTTATAGACAGGTAGGCACCTTGTCAACATGCACATCAAGCGCAGCCACACCGGGGATATCAACTAACAGCAAATCACTGGAAAAGACAAGATGAAATGAAATAAATCCAATAATGCACAGAGATACCGTGGCGTTTCCCTAAATTAGCATATGAAGTAAGTTGGTTAGCATCGAAACCGCGATAAGTAAAAAATGTCCACAAGTTACTTGAAAATGCTACAAACGTAACACGTTATCGAAGATAAGCGCAATTAGCGTAAGCAACATGGCCAGTTAATAGGAGATTATTCAGATAGGCAGAACATACCAAATAAGTGGCATGAAGTTTATCTAGCTTAAAAAGACCTAGCTTCAGTGTAAGTTGGTATAGCCTAACTGCGTTGAAGAAGCACCAAGAATGCAACATCAGCCTAAGCACGGGGCACATTTAAAGGATAATCTGTATCTGTATCTGTACATACCTACAAACACCGCCTTAAAACACACCCTATACAAGAGAAACAAAATTACGACAAGCAACTCAGACAACGAGAAAAGCGATGTACTTCGACTGAAATGAAGGACATGTGCTGTTAATTCTTGGGCCATCAGAGTAAAAGCTTTCCTGCGACAGAGTAACTCTATATGATAAGGAATGTGAGAAGAAGGTCCTAGATTCAAATTGACTTAATTCCTTGTGTTTCTGTGCACTGCGATGTGCTCATTCTGTGTATTAGTTTTAAGTGCGAAAATGCACACTTTTATCGTCTCCTGTTGGTGGGTTGAAAACTGTCGCAAAATTTTGCCACATGCCGAAAGAATATGGGAACCCCATCATGTACTCGTATCGGACACAATCAGATTGTTACATTCAAGATGTAAATGAGTGAATGGCAACGGACGGGGTAGGATAAAGGGAGCCAGGAGTGTTGGTATTGGCCTTAACTCCTTAATCCCGCGTCAAGCCAACAAGATATTATTTCAACTTACCTTATCAAATGGTTGGATAATCCGAGAAAGATTTGCATTCGACGTACACAAGTCTCGTAGCGGTGAGGCTTATTTCTCAAGATATCAATGCATCGATTTCAGATGCGATGTTGTGCAACTACACGCGCCTCTATACTCAGCACACCAGTTTCGGGCTTTGCAACACAAAGACAAAATAATACGCAGTGATAGCTACGAAACAAAGTCTAACCAATTCTGGACCTCTCTTGTATCCTAAATGAAATTTCGGCCAGTAGGATTATTGACAAGGAATGTCTGGTCTGCTCCTATGTCGTTTCATCGAGGCTGCTCTAAAAGTGGGCGTTCAATCGAAATAATTCTCACGATACAAGCACAGTGAAAAAATTCTTTGATGGTGTCTCCGTATTACGCCTTTAGTGTTTTTGTTTTTTATGTACAAGAAGTAAGGAAATGTGAGATGCAGCACTGAAATACTCATCGCGAACACACGGGTGAGCATCAGCCACGAACCGAACGAAACGCTGTCCAGTACGAAAATGGGTTGCAGATGGTTACGTGGTACACCTGATCGAAAAATCCGCCCTCCTGAGAAGTCTTCTCCTGCAAATCCATCAAAATACCCATTTATCCGGTCGTACTAGCGCAGAAAGTGTTTTACCAACAGGATTTTACTATGGAGGTGTTTAAAGTACAAGACAATCCTAAATCTAGGATGCCTTGTGAGTTACTGATTCCGATGACTAAACTGCAAGGCAGAATAGCAGTTGATATGAGCGATCCGGGTGGCGTTACCTCTTCCCCTACTTCAACCATATGACTAGTTAACATCTAAGTGCTACTACGAGATACTGATCATGGTTTCTGCGCTCATTCAGATATCGACTGTGCAAATGAAGTATACGTGTAAAATTTAATGAGCCAAAACATGAGCCGGACGACGGCCGACCAAAAAATGAACATTGAGAATGGTGGGATAAGTGACATCAATGCGAAACTGTGCCAACTTTGGTGCGTAAAATTTAAACAACTAGTGACTTGTGTACGAGTCTACAAAGCGACTGGACTAAGTACCGCAGTAACCTAGGGCTGATCGTACAGAGCGACCTCAACTGTTCAACCCAGGCTGAGATAGCTGCGAAAAGAGGCAACCAACACGTCGGTATGCTGCGAAGGGCATTCGGGAGATTTGACCCATCAAACTTCCCAGTGATGCACAATTCCTACGTGCGCCCGCATGTAGAATACCCAACCCAAGCTTGGCAACCTTGGTTAAAGCGCGACCTAGAAGCGTTAGAGGCGCCACAACGAACAGCAACAAAGAATGTAAGGGGCCTGCGCTATCACTTTTACCACCGAAAGCTGAAGTTGCAGGGAATTTTCAGCGAACGCTATCGAAGGCTGCGCGGCGATCTCATATTAGCGTATCAGATAGTGAGTGACCCCAACCACGTATGCCGCCATTTACTGAAACTTAGCCACAACACGCAGCTCAGGGGTAACTGCTTAAAATTGAAGGAACAATATGGCCGTCTAGAGTGTCGACGGAATTACTTTTCCCTTCGGGTTTGCCAACCCTGGAACGCACTCACAGACTCAGTTGTATCATCTCCTACCTTGGACGTTGCAAAAAACGATTAGCTGTTGCTTTTAGCTCGCAGAATTTGTTACCTAAACTCTTCTGTTGTGGATTACGCCAAGCATACTGTTATACTGGATTTATATACCAAACGGACCCACGTGAGCGGCCATATTTTACTTTTCGTATGCCTTACATCAAGGACCACTGCACCCCAATGTCTTTCTGAACGTTTACGTTCGACTTTTTAATTTTACACTGATGTAATTTATCAGTGTTCATCTAGGCAGACGTTCTGTAGATGACCCGGATATATTTTGATTTCATCATATTCACCCCAACCATCCTACTGGACGTGTCAACCACTTGCATTTATCCCGTGATAAATCGTTGTACATTGTTCATTTAAGTTGACGTAGATGAAAAAACGACAATGGAAGGCGAAAGCTATTGAACAACATACACTTAGACAATTGAAGGCTTTTATGTAAGCGATTTCTTCTTATGTCTACAAAAGAAATTAACATTTCCACAGGTTTGTCCGTCGTTGCAATGGGCCAGAGTAGAACACTGACCCCCCAGCGATGGCTCTCCTCACATCAACCCACTATTGTTGGTTGCTTCTATGTGCAACCTTGAGCATGATCAGACTTGCAACTGGTGCGGAGCAACGTATCAGAGTTCGATAAAGAGACCATGATAAATCGATCCATATGTGAATACCTTCTGTGGTTCAGTACAGGGATTCCCTTCAGTGATATGCCATACACAAGTCGTTAGCAAAGAGGATGAATTGAAGGACTGAAAAACAAAATGTTTATAACAAGGCCGCCTGTGGAGAAATTCAAAGGGAAGGTTAACCCAAGGGAGGAGTTTTCTCAAATCGATATTATTCTGATCGTCGCTTTCCTCTTTCTGACTGCCTTCAGCATATTGCAAGTGGTTTTCGCTCACTTGCCAGGTAAGCGTTATTGTGCAGTTTATCCATTTTGAAATGAGGTCTAGTTAAGGAAATTCATGAGCTGTGTGCAACTCAATTTAGATTTACACACATGAAGTGCCGTAGTAAAAATAAAGAGCTGATTTTACAAAAATGCTAGAGCTTCTTAACTTATGAGTCATCTATCGTTGACAGAATCCTATGGCAGCCATATTCTTGAAACAGTGAATAACTAAGTAAATTGGTGATGCGTAACTTACAGCCAGTGATCTTAGTAACCTTTCTTACATTGCGTTGGTCTGGGATGTTCGGTATTATCATGAGGGCGCACAACGTTTGGTAGTGAAAAACATCAAAGATTTATGCCGCCTGCCATGCCAGGAGCAACTGAATAAACTCGGAGTAGTTAGTGGACACCATCGGCGAATATGTGAAAAACGCGAACTCGTAAACTAAATACTTACCGAGCCCAGTCACATATGCGGCCACTTTCTGAAACTCTAGTCCAACACCAAAATGAGACACAATCGCCTGAAATTGAGTCAACCATACAGTCGGCTAGCTTTTCGACGAAATTACTACACACTCCGGGTCTGCCAACCCTGGAACGACCTTGCAAACTCAGCTGTGGGCATTCCCACTTTAGCACTTTTCCTAAAGATGCCTGGATATCGCACTCAGATCCCTACGCTTTGTTACATTAACTGATACGCTGGAATGATTTCCTGTTAACTGGCTTTTTGTACTTATAATTCACACCGATGCAAGTAAATCAGCCCAGGCGGGTGATTAATCCAATTGTCCATTACACGGTGCACTTGTCATATTGGACCAACATTTCCTTTCGCATGGTACTATCTATACCAGCAACTCTGCTTCTAAAATACCGTTACCATATCATGTAACTGCTGCGCATTTTACCATGTCCGCTTAACTTGTTGTTGAAAGCATCTGTTTCCTTCCTTTACCAGCTTACGTGACTGCCTAAGCCTCTGTTTTGTTACCCGGTGCAAGCTATAGTTCCACTGTTAGGTCAGTACCTTCTGTGTGCTTCGCTGGAAGGTGACCTGGTCTCTGTTCTGAGGCGCTGAAGCGCACTCACAATTCCGTACACCATCTGAAAGTGGCCAGTCATTCCAGGATATTGTGGACGATAGCTCGATGACTTTGACGACTGAAGAATCAGCGGCACTTTGTAGGATTTCACTAGACAAAGCGCAGACCCTGTAGATAATGAGGCATGCCAAAAAACAGCTACTGGTCACCTTGCTTGGTGCAATCAATACACCCCGTCGTAATGGTTTTCAAAAGCCGAAATAACCCTGGTGGTCAAATGATCCGGGAGGCAGAAACAACCAGCTATTAGTAGATAATTTCTGCAACCTTGATTTAACAGTCCATGTAAGGTTAGATTCCTTTTAATTAGTTACTTGGTATTCTTCTCCCGATTATTGAAGGTTATATAGAGTCGTACTTCGACTGTAAGTTTCCGGACGATAGTTGATGGCTTCACATTCCCGAAGGAAAAATTTATTCGACTACTAGTAAAAATAACGTTACTTTATTACCAAAATTTTATTCGACATAATATGTACTGTGATTAGTTATCAAAGTTTATTGTAATCCTTTGCACTAGACCATCACATAGTCAGAAATCATCCCAATATCCTGGTCTTTCTTTCAGATTTGGCAGCAAGTAAGCAGCTCTGATTGTTCTATAAAAAGCTAACTTATACGCAATTTGCTTTCAAAGTAAAACATGTGGTCAATACAAGCAAATTGATGTTACTGCTAACATTGTTTGCAGTGTACGCTCTCTACTTGTCAATGAAAACTGCTCCGTTTTATGCCAGCCACTCGAACCACGAAATGTCGCACGTCCACTGACACTGTAGGATAAAATCAAACCATAGGATACGGATGTCAGTAAAAGTTAACAAGTTTGCAGTCGAAAGCTAGTTCATTCAAATGCGGTGAACTATGAATGCAAATCACATCAATATTTTACTTATCACTAGTGTGCGCTTCTTCAAACCTGAAGTTAGTAACTCGCTCTGCCTGCAGACGATGTTCAGTTACTGTGGTGTTTGTCAAATTGGGAGATTTGCATGCCAACGCTGCAACACCAGTGGGGAGGTTACGTCATTAGTGCGTGGGATTAAGCAGCTCCGTAACAGAAGCCGGTGTAAGGAAAATCCAGCCACACCCCATTTTATATATAGGCTTTGGAATCATCAACTTTGGCTCGTTCTGCTCGTGCGCTGCATGTTTACCTTAGTGATTGCCATAGACTGTGAAAATGCTGCTGCCATTTGGGTAGAATACTCGCAAATGGATTGGTGCCGAAGGCATGCAGGCAACATTCTGGTTCACATTGGTTGTCGTTCTTCTCATCTCAGCAGTGGATCGTTTACATTCGAGCCGTAGCCTTGAATCCTTCTGAGCTCCTTCTGTCTCAGCGTTTAGTATACGGGATCGAAGTCGCTGCGCAAATTGCTTGAATTATCTGTGGCAAACAAAATCCCGAGGAATCCTCTCCCTTGTTGTGTTCCTTCTTGAGTTAGGGTCTCAGCTGCGTCCTCCATCCGCGTGTACTAAGATGGTGCAATGGCGCAACTCCCTGTGGTTGACATCTGCCCGGTTGATTGTAAGCCTGCTGTTGCAATACTTTCAGTTGGAGCTTTGTGGGTATCCTTGCGTTAGAACTATTTGAAAGGGTGTTTCTCCTCTTTACGTCTCGCTACTCTAATATTGCACTGAAAATATATCCTGTGAAACAGTGTCTATACACAGATCATTTTGTGGCTTTGCAGTGGTTATTACTGAAGTTAAGAATTAGACCTAAGTGTGCATTTCATGTAAGCCAATTTTGTAATTCCCCGTCCATGGTTCTGTGCACTAATGGGTCCAAGAAGGGTCTGTTACTTACTTTCGATTCCATTGTAAACTGAATGTCATCTATGACGTTGTTGAATAGCTGATGAGTAATCGCTACTTGGCTACTTTTGAGTAGCACAAACTTATCGCCGACTTAGGGGGCCCACAGCCTATGATTAATACTTTGAAGTAGATCCCCCTCCAACGTTTGCATGACGATATCTGCGATGAGGTCCAACACAGTGGTCCATTGCAGCACCATTGACTTGCTGACAGATTTCTCATGCATTGCTTCACATGCAAAGACAAAAGCTATAGCCAAGTCAGGGATGCATCAATGGACGACTAATCAGAGCTGATTGTTATGTTATATATGAAGGACATACTTGAAATAACACTCAGGTGGTTTAAGCAACACGAGATCAACGTGGCCCCCAAACCAATTGCTACTTAAGGCATAACAATGACAAAGAAGGGCAGGATCAACGAAATGTTGCACATAATAGATATTTCTGTAATTGTGATAAGCACCATACAAAACAAGCGAGAATGAAGTTATAAACAAGGCTACAGGAACACATTAGAGTGTGCGAGAAACATTATGTCACCTCATTGCTTTAAGCATAGGTGAAAGGAGAGGGATACAGCTTCGGCTGGAAAACAGCTGAGATTCTAACGCAAGTAAGGAGAAAATTCCTCGAGGGTTTCTTCACCATCAACACTTCAACCAGCATGCACATCGACATCGATCCGGTATGCCAAACACTGGAACAGAAGGAGGTCAGATGGGTTCAAGACTACCGCTCGAAACTAAAAGATCCGCTGCTGAGATAATAAGAATGACCACCAATGTGAAGCAGAATGCTGTCTGTATGCCTCCGGCGCCAATCAAATTGCGAGCATGCTACCCAAATTGCAGCACCATTTTCACAGCATATAGCAATTACCAAGGCAGAGCTGCAGCACACGAGGAGTAACAAGTCAGAATAATCAAAAGTTGATGACTAAACACTTAACATAAGAAATGGAGGAGTGACTGGTGACATCCATACATGGATTTGCGTTCCACCGACTTCTGCTACAGAACTCCTTACTCCTACGCACTGATGATGCACTCTCGACTGTTGTCGAAACTTTCGCAAGTAGATTGCCCAATTAGGCGAACACTAAAGCCACTAAACTGCCAATACTTTGTCTGAACGTTGATGTTGTGTAAGAACTAATGCAAAGGCAGACTCATAGCTCTATATGCACCATATCTTGTTTCTTTGTGCATGAATTCATAGTGAACTTTTGGGTAGCACTGTAGACTGACTGTCTGTAATGCAAAAGGCTAGATAACTAATAATACAAGGGACTTAAACTTTCGCACTCCTCTGGAACGTAAAAGCTAAGAAGCGTTAATCTGTGTACGATTCATTAACTGAACCTACTTACACCCAAACCATGGAATGTGTGTGTTTTGGTCCATTTACGTCAGTGCTGCGCTTTTAGCGAGTGAGTTAATCGAACAATAACACAAGCAGACGAAATTTATATTGGATCCAAACTGTAATATCCCCTGGGTGTATAGGTTAGTACGCAAGTGCTTTAGTCTAAGTTGATTATTCGCAGTCACGCAAGCATCTGTTCAAACCCGACTTGTTTTTGACACTGAGTTGCCGGAGCTATAAGCATATAAGGTGAACAGCTGAGTTAACTTTTAAATTTCCCATAACTGGTCATTAACCTTAAGGATTGTAAGCCTGCTTTGTAATCCGAGGGCGCGGGTTCGAGCCTGCTTTAGTACCGGTCAACGCTCACAGTAACCTTGGCCTACGGTGAGTGATGGTGGTTGAGCGACAGCGAAGTGTCGGTACTGCATACCGGCGTACTGCTGTTGCATATGTGCTTTTTGTTAGAACTGGATAAATTCATTAGAGCGTGTTCTTTAAAAAAGAAGCTACATGTTTTCAAGCCTATGTGGGAATCGTCCGGAAAGTTACTGCTATCGATTTGTTTTTACGCTTCTTTTTCAGCAACCAATGTCACGACAACTTCAGAAATGTCCAGCCGTGAGTACCATCCGAATTACTTGATAAACTAAGGCTAATACTAGCTTACTTTTTTGTTTTAAAAACCGTGAACCTGCTACTTGGTAACCGGTAATTTTCGTTCGTATATCCCAGACGAATCAGCTTAGTCATATGTAACTTGTCTCAAAAAGGGAAGCAATTACTAGACTGGACGTAATTGAGGTGTTCTTTCCTCCAAAAACTGCAGATTTCGGTCATTGTCATGAATACTTTGGCAGTTCCGATGAAGGTAGCTGGGGGTGCGAAACAGACTCGGGAGATCTATTGTTCAGGTGCACACAATTTGGCGCAGTCCATCGGGTACTTAGAGGCACACTTATGGTCTTGGGTATCACCACATATGCTGGTTTAGACGTGTGATATGTGCTTGATTAGCGACGCGGGACCAATCAAAGGAACGTTAGTACCGTTGATGTAGACCCTCTTATCTTTCGTTGGAAGCGTGAATAGTGTTCCTCATTGCCAGTAATGCAATCCGCAGCTGAATTCGGACTTAGCAATACATATTCAAGAAAGCCAATGAGAAACAAGTGAATAAACTACAACTTGGTAAAATGATAACGAGGTATTTCTTTCCGCGAATCTGAGTGCAATGCGCTGTTAACACTTCTAGACCCGGGCAGAGAGATAAGACACATACAGGAAAGCGCTAGACCGCCCTTTCGTCCTATCGGTACTCGTCAGTAGCGCATACCTGTCGAATCCGGCCGGATTTGAACTCTTATGAGTCAATGACTAATACCACTGAGCCATGTGCGGCGGCGATATAGCGCGGCTCATCCTTCACTGTCATGTAGGTTATGAAGGTGTAGAGGAAAGGACTGACCCGCACAGCCATGACTTCTTTTCCAAGCCGCCGACAATGGAGTTGGCACGTAAAACATTGAGGCAATTCTGATCAATAAGCAGTTGGACTTTGTAAACAATGAAATTGGATTAGATAACGATTTCAATTTGTTTCCGCGTGTTCAGCAAATAGATTGCGCTGAATATATTTACGGCTGCACGTTACAGTGCAAGCATTATTTGGCTTGACAACGGATTATGTAATGACCGAAAAAGTAACGCCGGTTGTTAAATAATGCAGTTATCTACATGTAGGATTACTCATTTTAAACATTCAAAACAGCAAGTAGAATAAATGTTTTAGAAGGATGAAGCAAAGGAATATTGGTTTCGGTCTGGCCAAAAACAATCCAGTCCACGGCCAGTTTCGAACTCATTCGTTCTCGTCAGGTAGAGATAGCAACCACCAACCTGGGACCTTTAAGATGTTAGCCACGTTTAAATTCTGTGTGAACCACGGTACACATTGAGATTGCAAATTGCAATCCAAACACACTGTGATTCTCCAGTTAGTCCTTGGCCGTTGTGCCAGGCGCTGTCAGTCGTGACCCGATAGCTAAACTGATGGAGGTTTCAACTCACATCCCAATGGTCCCGGGTTAGAGGCCTGCTCTGTCTACCTGATGAGATCAAACAAGATTGAAAGGCGGAGTGGTGTGCAGTGGTTTCGGGGAGACAACACCCAATTTCTATTTGTCTCTGCAGAGATCAAATTGATCAAGATTCACTTCAAAGGGAAATCGCGACCCTCACTTAAATTGCGCCTCTTATGTCAAGCAAACAATGAGGAATTAAAATTACCCTCCATTGTTCCTTTTGGTTATCGTTGCAGATCAATGCCTGATTAAGTTAGAGAATTGGGAGGCATTATATTTTCTTCTTTTGAGTTGCTTGTAATCTCTAAGCGCGAGCACCGACCGGTTGCGTTTATTACGTCGTAAGGTGAGCTTAATTGCAGTCAACGCGTCAGCATTCAGTCACAGCGCTGAGCGATTTTCACATTTTCGGCCATTCTCCCTTGAGATAAGATATTCCTTTATGAGCATATCACAGCAAATTGCTCACTATGACGGTTACGAACTTAGCATAAGAAGCAATAAAATATCGGAATACAGCAGTCATATACCGGACATGTTTTACTTACAGGATAAAATGTAGAAAGGCGGAAGGCATTGATTAATCGGAGTACGGAATGATCACGAAAACCGGGGCGGACGGAAACGGGAACAGGTGCAATCGTGGAGGGCAAAAGCACCTACGCTGGCCTGACAGAACGAGACAAAAAACTCGTCACGAGCGGCGACCGGTAGTGAGTCTGAGCAACGCAGAACAGAGAGGGTATTCGTCAATAACGCGTGATAAATCAGACAAAGCGCCGTTATTGCAGCCTCCAGGACCGACCCGTCAGATGGATGCATCCACTATTAAGCAACTCACGAACATTCGAACAATTTCGGCAGATCAGAATATGGACACGTAGAAGCGGAGATACCGGTGAGAAATGGGCAGGGAATATTCCAGCACGAGGTCCCGAAATTGCGTAGACGTGTCTCGAGCGGACACCAGGAGAGATAATGCGTCGTAGGAAGGAAAGGTAACTCATGTATGTGTGTGTGCCTGAGTGTTCGAATAGCTTGTGATGGCGTCAACAAAGCTTGTGCTGCCTGGTCGCGTGGTTCTTGCTACAGTAGCACGCTGGACCGCATGTGGTTCGTTAGTCTTCAGTTTCCTCAAGGCAGAAATAAGAACCCCTAACCGTTCACACCGGTTCCCTTACGTCCGTGTGTTTCATATAAGCTATTACAAGTAGTTCACAGTACATGTAACAAAATACTGCGTAACAGGAGTGAAATTCAACCGCTATTCGAATGCAGTAGGGCTAGATAGTCAGAAGAACTGCAGTTGTGGTAGGGCTCAAAAGCTGATTCATCTGAAATGATAGCTATTTGGACAGTAGTCGAAATAGCAGTAGTACTTAATTATTTTCATTTGGCTACCGCCCCGTTTAGATAGCTATTTTTACTGTACTTCAGTGTGTAGTGGTTCGCAAGGTTGGGATAATTTATTATTATCTTGCCATTGGTTATCAATGGAGAGGCTGCGTCCAAAACTGTGTAGTCACTGACCATGGAATTATATGTACTGGTCTTCAGGGGAGTTTTGGCGGACGACCGCGACGGCGGTGTGTGTGCATAGACCCTCACCAACTAACAAAGCCAGAGGTTCCGAATGCGTGTCAAAGTGCGCTGGCATTCGAGTTGAGTAAGCGCACCCTGAATACAGTTGAAGAGCACTGGTCACACGTACACCAGATATTACTAGCAACAGGCAAATCCTCATGTGGTAGATCTACTTGTCAACATGAATTTCGGGTCTCTACGCAGCCTCTCTATCTTATCGATACTGGACAGCAGATTCCGGCTGGAAGCGTTCACAATGAGACTCGCAAAGGTCGCATGGCAAAACTTCCCACTAGCCTGAAGAGAAACTGCGAATTCTGGTGGTTTCATTATGCATAAGACGTGGAATTGGCTGCTGCCCTTGGTAACCATCGGAAGTTATTCCGTTTGATACGGGAAACGGGCAGTAGGAAACCTGTTGTCAGTGTAACTATTCGTAACGAGAGTAAACAGCCTATGAACAAATTGTTAAAACGATTGGAGCGTTGTACTGAGCACTTTGAAAGACAATTTAATCGGCCGCAATTATCAGATTTTTCACCGCCCAATGATCATGCTGCTCCCTGCGCTGTCCCATTTACTCCGTCGTCTCGCCCCGAAGTCGAACCTGGGATCGGACTGCTGAACTCGAGTAAAATAGCGGGAACAGATGATCTTCCTACAGCCCTGTTTGAACTTGTGGGACCTGCACGTGTTGTCGATTTACACGAGTTACTAGGGAAACTGTGTAAGGCAGGAAACTGTCCCAATCGACTGCAGTCGCTCCGTTACTGTCTCGATTTTCGTAGTATTCTCGCGTATGGAATTCTGTAACCAGAATGAAATCAGTCTGATGTCCATCGCCTATAATTTACTCACCTCTCATGCTTCACCGAATGATTTGTGAGGTGCAAGCCGGGTTTCGTGTAGGTCGGGTCTGTATCGATCACATCTTTCCTTTACGTCAATTTTTAAAGCACCGTCAAGTATATCAACGGTCCATCGTTGTCGTGTTCCTTGATATCAAAGTGCCTTCCATTCGGTGAATCAATGTATTCTTTGAGACTGTCTATTAAGAAAAATTGTGTCAGGGAAATAAGTAAATTTTATCCCAGCGCTTTACACGCTTAGCTCGGGTAGAGTAAGGACTTACAGCAAGCAATTGACGACATAAAATATCTCCAGTAATCTAAGACAATGAAGCCCACTGTCACCATTCCTCTTTAACTTCATTATTGGGAAGTCATGGAAATCGCGTTCACTGGACAAGAAGTAGAAGGTGGGGAGTTGCTGTCAGGTGAATGACTTCTTCTATGGAGTAGCTGACGACATTGCCCTCGTCTATGACAGCTCAACAACGTGCCAACCAGCACTTGACAGATTAGCATTGGCTTTGTAAGATTCCTACAACGCTGTCGATAGCATCCAGTGAACACTCCGGGCAATTTCGCCCAAACCAAACCTCATTTCCATTCCCCGTTTACTCAATATTTTCGTCCCGCTTCTTCCCTGCATGCTTTGCAGAAATGAACAAGGTGCCTGTTTCTGTGGTCACAATCCTCGCCCTGATTGTGATGTTCTCTGCTTTCATCCTTCGAATTGTGCTGTTGTTCAGGTGCGCGCACAGGCATCGGAAGCTGAGTGTGGCCGTGATGTTGCTGAACTATACAAGCCGTGAGTTTTCATTTGGCAAGAATTTAGCACAAATGGTTTTCACGAATTTCCGGTCCGCTGCTCTACCACTGGGCTACCGAGGGCTGACGAGTAGGTGCGCAATTTTTAATACATGACTTCTGCTTGGTGCGCGACGTAGTGCCAATGAGCTCACAGTACCTGTCCTGGTGCTGTAGATTGCCTCACTTACCCGTCACTTCCCAATGAACCGAAGTACCTGTCCATCAGATGTCCATAGGGCGATGGTAGATTACTTGAAGGATGTTTGTGAGTAGTGTAACGTTTGTAGAAAGTAGAAGTCACGATTAAAATTCACGCACAATAATATGCCTCGACGGGGGATCGAACCCCGGTCCACGAATTTCCGGTCCACTGCTCTACCACGGCGCTACCGAGGGCTGACGATTAGGTGCGCAATTTTTAATGCATGACTTCTGCTTGGTGAGCGAAGTATTGCCAACGAGCTCACAGTACCTGTCCTAGTGTTGCAGCTTACAAATTGCGCACCTAATCGTCAACCCTCGGTAGCTCAGTGGTACAGCAGCGCACCGGAAATTCGTGGACCGGGGTTCGATCCCCCGTCGAGGCACATTATTGTGTGTGAATTTTAATCGTGACTTCTACTTTCTACGAACTTTGGACTACGCACGAACATGCACAAATGGTTTTAAGAACGTGCGAGTTCGCAGCCATACCCATGTGATTACTATGCGGAAAGAACGCGCTGTGGCCAGACCACATTTTATAAGGTTGAAATAGGTCCAGTTCGTCTAAATATATGTTCTTGACCGTATAATCAATCTGTTTTATTATTCAACCATGGACACAAGAGTACCACAAAAATGAACACAACTATTGAAGTTGGTTAATGTAGATGACTGTGCATTGGTCCATTTAGTAACACCATTAAGGAGACACCATCCAGTTTTACAATGGGTTATCCAATCTTCGCTTGACGAGCAACGCCGTTATCGTGGTCACTCCTTTAAGCATAGAAAGATTAATGACGAAACCCCAGTGTCGTGTTACTCTCCAAGAGTCAAAACAAAGTCTGAGCAATGCTCAAAACCCGTCATTCGTAAAGCGAAACCGTTTATACCGCACATAATAGTGGGGCCCTATTTGGCCGCTACGTCTTAACATTGGTTACTTTCCATTTTTTACGTTCTCCACGATCCGTCTATGTTCACTGATCCCTAGGTTCTGCCGGTTTTCATAGAATTCTGCTCCGTGTGCGTTATCCACCAAGAGTCATATCTGAGCGTGGCAGCAGTCATTTTTGCTATCTGACCAGTGCACAGGCATCGTCTGCTTGAGGCTGTTTTAATCAATTCGCATCGTCTTTGTGCGTGCCAAAGACTTGCTTTGTGCCTTTTGGGCTGAACCAACCCTGATTACTCTCCCTGTCTCATGTGTGGTTGGGCAGTTTGTGTTGGCAGGGTCCACTTGGCCTTCTGTACCGTAGGTTTGAGAAGAGTCTTTCGTTTTTGCTCAGTCGACGCGCAGGTCAGGGGTAGACTGGAGCTCACTAATTTGCCGACCCACCAATGGCATGTAAGTCTACTGTATTTACTCACCTACGCATGTCTGGGGGTGTGAATACGACGTGAGGACGCATATCGGTGCATGTGTCCTTGAAATATGTTAATGACCCTCGTCGATTTCGACACCGGGCAGTTCAGATTGGGTCGATGCCGACGTTTTTGGCTGGTGGTTTGCAACATCTCGACAGCAGTGCATAATGCACTGGCTACCGTGTTCAAATGTTGGTGGCGCTTCGACAGTTGCTTAATGTTATCCCAGCAAATGATAAAAGGGTTAGTGACAACGCTGTTGTAGACTGAATGTTACCTTCACATAAACCATCTTAGCAAAATAAGAATTCGTAACAATTAGACGGTGAAAATATGAGATGCTACTTCTGCATAAATGAGTCGGGAACAATGTCTACCAGCTACTGGAGGCTCATCGGATCTATTTGCAAGTGCGCGACCGCCTAAGGAGTTAATTCCAGCAGAATACAGAAATAAAAAGAAAGCTGAGTGCAGTGGCTTTGAACAGATTTTATCAAATCTCATTTTATTCCATCAGCTTGGACAATTAAATCAAAATCAGTTTCGCAATGAACACGAGAAGGAATTTTACAGTATTGGTATGGTAAAAGAATCCTAGAAGTAGATAAAGAAGCGTTTAGGTCAAATCTAATCACCCATTTTAGAAAGAAAGGTGATGGAAGAATCCAGCGCGTACGATGCATTTATTTGATGAAACCAGTCTGTTTACGGCTGAATATTCAAGCGTTGTTGGTGTATTAAGCATTTTATTGACTTGACTTGAGTTCCCCGCCTTGGCAGACTTGAATGTTTAAATATTCCTTATCGCCCAGATACGTATCCGGCCAATCTGGAAAACCTTAATATGCCATCCTACTAGAATTTTTGGTATTTTAAGTATCCATGGAAACGGTGTAAATAGATCACTGACGATTCACGCTCAACCGTTTGTTCCACGGTCATGACACATTCAGTAGTTGCGAATGACTTAACAAGCGTAAAAGTATTGCCCATTAGTTAATTTCCGGTGGCCGGTGGGACTCTCTGGGACTCTTTTAACTTCCGATATAATTCCACGGGATGTACAGCTGAGCGGCTAATCGTACTCCCACAACGACAGAACAACAACAGATCATGGTGACGTGCTGGTATAGATTTGTTTTCCTATTTCGTTAGACTGCTGCTACCAAAAGAAATGCGGATGTTCTACGTGTGCCCTAAAGCTCGATCCACCTGAGTGTTGGCGAAATGTGGGTGGGTGAGATTTTCTGTTTTATGTGAAGCTGCCGTTTGCACTAGTTGCAAAGTACCCAAGACAAAATGAACCGTAATCGCTTTCAGCTCATACGTGCTTTTGACACGTCAAAGAAATTGACCAGGGGTTCAAATTCTCTACAGGCCTTCTGAACTGGAAGCAGAGAGTGCGGAGATGATATCTGAGATTGGGGCAGCACTACGCGTCTGCTGGTGGACTCGCACCAAACCGCAATCAGATCCCTCATGTATGAATTTGAAGTTGACGAGCTGCTAACAACTTGTCATGGAGTGTGAGGCATGAATCCAGTAATACCTAGTGAACATCCAGTGGCCCTAGCTTGGCGAAAGCTGCTGCTGTCACACTCGCTTTCGTAGCAGTCATCCTAGAAATACTGTAAACTGGCTTCCATGAACTTACCTGAGCTACAAATCAAGTGGACTGGTCACTACAGCAAGATTCATCTATCGAAGCAATATAGGCAATCCTAAAGGAGTATGGAAAATGATTGTGCGCAAGATCCGTAACCCTCAATTATCAGATGGTTGCACTAATGAAACTAAAATGGTTCGACAACTATATTTTATTTGATTAGACATTGACGTGTACTAAGGAATAAATTCAGTCCGATGGGTTCTGCCGCCGATTAGGTGGTGTCATAATCATGGCTGATTTCACGCAACAGCACCAGTGTTCAAAAATCCCAGCCACAACGAAGACGACCCACAAGAGGATCATTCATTAAGTGACGCTGCACTTGAGGAGTACATATGACGGAGCAATGTTAAGGGGTTCAGCCGGACAGTCCCTGACTTCCAGGAGGGACTTTATGCGTCTGCACTTGTGGTGCACTTCAATTCCTTATTCGCAAGTATTTAGGAGGCGGTACAGAGTTTGTTTTGTGTAGGCCCTGCCCCTTTTGACAGAAGAATTACGGCATAGTAGATGCTCGCAAGATATTCATTGGTAATTGGCGGTGCTTCACATGCTATACCTAACGATTCGCATTTACTTGTCTGCTTCCAATCTGTGCGAATCATGTTCCACATTGAGACTGCGGGTCGCATTGTGGGTTTGGTAGCATCCACCATTCAAATATGCTTCACTACTTGTCGGTTTGACGCATGTCCTTGCAAACCATTGCTGGTCAGGTTTTAGACTAAGATGAGAACATTGCAGAATGCTGACCTGGAAAAACCAGGTTAACTTGCCAACAAAAGTAATTTGATGGCTTATCAGTTCGTCTTCATTTCTGAAGGAAGAAGTGATCGTTGGAGACAATGAGATTTACGATTAGCGAACCATTGGCAATTTGTAGGTCTGTTGAAAAATGCGAGACTTGATAAGGCGCAACCTTAACAGTTTATTTGTAGTGAGTCATACCGAATAAAATATTCACCATACTTAATTCATTGTCACTTTCTATCTTTGTCTGCTATTCTATGTTGCTCTCATAAGTTGATCTCGCAGTCCACTGTTACGTTAATTCTGATGCAATTGATGTATTGCTTAGTTTTGAATAATTTTATATCCATGGAACCCGCAGTTGAAACACTTTAACAGGTAGACAGTATACTTGTCCAAGTGTAACTGCCTTCCAGGAAATTCTGTTCCGTCTTATAGATCTACTGGTGTTGACTCTTGCAAAACCCTTGCAACTCGCCTCTTCTCTCTCATCACAGGAAAATGCTAGAGTATCGACCACTGGTCTTCCGTTCGATCCCACGGAGCAACATGTAGCTAACAGGTTCATACTTAGTCTACGCAAACAGCGAGACGGGTGACTAGGGTTGCACAAACTATCGTATCGTCAGTTTCGAAACGACTTAATAAGGACAAACCGGATATATATATCCATGCTTTTGATTCACATACGCGCAACAAACTGCATTTGAGGGCAACATTACAACCTTGCAGAGATCCATAAATCAATAACAGGAAAACATGTCGACGTCAAGTCAGTCTCACTTGGTAAACCAAACCAATAACAACAACAAGGAACAAATTTCGTGAAATCATAGGAAAATGCACCGTGAGCAATGGGATCATGTAAACACAAGCACGCTCTGGGCAGCAGCTTGCTAAAGACTAGCGCGTGATAGATCATATTTGGTGGTAGTTAGTGCTCTCTCTAAAATATCACACTTGTACACGTTTCTAACTTCTGAGCAACTCATTATACCCCTACCAGGAAATATAGCTTACAGCATGAAAAGATGGCTTTACAAATTTGCACTGTACTTCAACAGGTTTAAAAGTATGCAACATATAACTAAATCTTGGAAGAATATGGCTATCAGCGTCGAATGTTTTTCTTTTAACGGGCGCCTCGTCTTCTGGATTTCTTCATCCACGGAACAGTCGTTTGCTTGAAATGGGAAGCGGAGTATTTCGACTTGTGCGTTACTCATTCAAGTCAATTCAAGAATGCGTTATACACCCTCATGAAGGCTGCAGTTTCACCTACGACACCCCATTAAACTGAACAACTGGAAGTGCGTCAAATGCCACAGCATTCAAACGGCAGCAGAAACCAATTTCAACTTGTTTCACGGCTCAATAGTAAAGTTTGCCACGTAGTTATTAGATGCAAACACTATATTCATGCAGAAATCATGCTATATATGCAACGACTGACAAAACGTAGCTGTACGGCATTTGCACGTATGAGCTGAAAGCGATTACGGTTCATTTTGTCTTGGGTACTTTGCAACTAGTGCAAACGGCAGCTTCACATAAAACAGAAAATCTCACCCACCCACATTTCGCGAACACTCAGGTGGATCGAGCTTTAGGGCACACGTAGAACATCCGCATTTCTTTTGGTAGCAGCAGTCTAACGAAATAGGAAAACAAATCTATACCAGCACGTCACCATGATCTGTTGTTGTTCTGTCGTTGTGGGAGTACGATTAGCCGCTCAGCTGTACATCTCGTGGAATTATATCGGAAGTTAAAAGAGTCCCAGAGAGTCCCACCGGCCACCGGAAATTAACTAATGGGCAATACTTTTACGCTTGTTAAGTCATTCGCAACTACTGAATGTGTCATGACCGTGGAACAAACGGTTGAGCGTGAATCGTCAGTGATCTATTTACACCGTTTCCATGGATACTTAAAATACCAAAAATTCTAGTAGGATGGCATATTAAGGTTTTCCAGATTGGCCGGATGCGTATCTGGGCGATAAGGGATATTTAAACATTCAAGTCTGCCAAGGCGGGGAACTCAAGTCAAGTCAATAAAATGCTTAATACACCAACAACGCTTGAATATTCAGCCGTAAACAGACTGGTTTCATCAAATAAATGCATCGTACGCGCTGGATTCTTCCATCACCTTTCTTTCTAAAATGGGTGATTAGATTTGACCTAAACGCTTCTTTATCTACTTCTAGGATTCTTTTACCATACCAATACTGTAAAATTCCTTCTCGTGTTCATTGCGAAACTGATTTTGATTTAATTGTCCAAGCTGATGGAATAAAATGAGATTTGATAAAATCTGTTCCAAAGCCACTGCACTCAGCTTTCTTTTTATTTCTGTATTCTGCTGGAATTAACTCCTTAGGCGGTCGCGCACTTGCAAATAGATCCGATGAGCCTCCAGTAGCTGGTAGACCTTGTTCCCGACTCATTTATGCAGAAGTAGCATCTCATATTTTCACCGTCTAATTGTTACGAATTCTTATTTTGCTAAGATGGTTTACGTGAAGGTAACATTCAGTCTACAACAGCGTTGTCACTAACCCTTTTATCATTTGCTGGGATAACATTAAGCAACTGTCGAAGCGCCACCAACATTTGAACACGGTAGCCAGTGCATTATGCACTGCTGTCGCGATGTTGCAAACCACTAGCCAAAAACGTCGGCATCGACCCAATCTGAACTGCCCGGTGTCGAAATCGACGAGGGTCATTAACATATTTCAAGGACACATGCACTGATATGCGTCCTCACGTCGTATTCACACCCCTAGACATGCGTAGGTGAGTAAATACAGTAGACTTACATGCCATTGGTGGGTCGACAAATTAGTGAGCTCCCATCTACCCCTGACCTGCGCGTCGATTGAGCAAACCGGAAGACTCTTCTCAAACGTACGGTATGTCTACGACCTGTTGGTGAGCTTCGCTCGAATGACAATCTATTGGCACACCCGCTTATTGACATTAGTAGCATATGCATTGGGTAACTGGCATCGTGTTTAGACTCTAGTGTGGTTTCAACGGACACCAGGTACAGCTATTGATGAAAGCGCTTTTAGATTAAGCAGTTGGAGCATATTCATGGGAAAGATATGTGCCCAGTTCAAGAGACCGGGATTCTACAGGTCACTATCCTGCTGGAAGGCGTGTCTTAAAATCCAAAAACGGCTTCTCTACTCCACAGCAATGCGGTTTCCTAACTAATGTCACAGGCGTAGCTTACTGCGTCGTTTAGCTTTGCAGTCACAGATTTGAACTGATACAACCATCTCTTTGAGGCAAATACTAGTCAACATATCTGTGTGTAAACAAAATAAGACGACAAAGCCAGTTAAGCAGCGTCTTTCTAATAGATGGGATAACCTTTTTCATTTTCCAGCATTTTGAAATGCTTTGCCTATAGGGGATGGATCAGACCATGCAAATATTTATATGTTCGTAATTAGGCGAAGGATTTACCAATTCAATACCTTTGAAAGTAAGGTTCGATATAAAGTTCCCATTGTATGAACCAATAACCGCTTAAGATATACAGCGCCCCGTAGGATGCGCAACAAATAGTGCTCAATATTCCTTGATGTAGGAACAACTCCCAAGCGAACAATGCTGCCCATCACCATGAGCTACTTTTGTTGCCAAGGCGATGGAGGATGAGCGAGTGGTTTGTAGACGGGACAGTCGCGCTACCGACTTAAAACAAAATTCAACCACCGTTTGTCATAATTAGCCTTTTCATCCCCAAAGCACTATTTTACCTTGCTATTCACAACCTTAGTACACACGCTAAAGAGGGAAGTCAGTCGTTCACGAAGTTTCAGCGGGCTAAGTCCGCACAGTATCTTGGCTCCATTCGCCGCCACATGAGGTTTCGTTCAGCAACAAATACATAGCTGTTGAACAATAAGAAAACAAGACAGAAAGAAACTATTTTCCAGGATGCGATACCTAACAATTATCTGCCAAAAGTCGGTTCTCCACTAACGCAGTGTGGCGGTGAAGAGCAGAATGTAGAGTAGAGTTGCTTGCCGTTACCTTACTTTCCCATTCGATCACATCAACTTTCTTTCCCCCATTTTAGTCATTCTCTACATTGTCGCCGCTGCCCTGGCGCATGATACCAACCCACATCGAGGCTCATGGTTCATGGCCGCCGCGGCGGTCACCTTGCTGGCAGTCCTGACGGCAGTTTTCAACTTCATCAGTACCATGAAAGCAATGAAACAAGTTTAAACTATCTACATCTTACCAACAGCGCCATATTACTTAGAAACTTTTGCCACTGTGGCAGTGTGTTTGTCTCCTTTTCCCTGAACTATATTCACTCTATTTGTGCCTATAATTCACCTCATTGTACTCGGCTAACAATCTCGTTGAGCTGCAGTGCGACGCGGAAATTTTTCAGTATAATAGGTGTATTTTCTCTGAAACTCTGCTTCTCCTACGGAATATTTCATCCGGTAGAAAGCTAAAAAAGTGGCTAGCATCTGAGTAGTCGAGCTGATTATTTTATTTGTTTTTATATGGTAGTGATAAAAAGTTCATATCTGACAAAAAGCTCAGACTTGGTAAGTCCTGAATAATGCTCATGGTGAGAAACGTATAATAGCACAATGAACAATGATTTATCACGGGCAAAAAAGCAGCAGCTTGAGAAGTCAGGTAGGGTGATTATAGTGAGAGAAAACAGATCAAATGTTATGTGAATCTTCGTTTTAAGCGACTCCAGATTTAACTGCACTGCTGTATAACGGTCTCTGGAAATGAAAATTGAATGTGCGCACAGAAAGTAACATGGCGAGTGATTCTACTTTACGTAATACGTGCGAAAAAGTGAGGGAAATGACAACGCTTACTCGTGTTCATCTTTTTTGTGCCAAGGGGATACGTAAATGCAGTATTAGTTTTGAACAAATTATGTGCTGAAGGTGGAAATTCGCACTTTGATTGGCGGTGCTAGGTTGACGCCCCGCTAAAGCGTATGATATGGAGTAATGTAAAGCTAGGAATGCATCGTCGAGACGTTTTTTGTATACCGTTTGGGGACGAAACGACGTAGGTATCGAGAGCGTTCCGTGGCTGACACAAACGATGTGAAAGGAAATTCCGGCGACCATCCAGCCGGCTATACTGTGCAGTCAGCTTTAGCTGGGGTAACCTCGCTGAGTAGTATTGTGATACAGCTTCAGTAGATAACTACAAGGGTGCTTAGGATGCCTTAGGATCAAATATGTCATTATCAAATCTCCACGCAGGCATCGATATTGTCCACCGTCGACCCAAGGGTTTTTAACCTCATTCGGTAAGGGAGATGAAACAGACCATTTAAGTTCTTGATCGCCATTTGTTGTGGCAGTTCAAGTGCGGTGAGGTCGTGCTTGTGCGAAGTCTGCCAAGCGTGAACGCAGTATCCGGAATGGGGCGTAATATAGGCGTTGAGCATCTGAGAGAAAAATAAAGGGTCAACACCCAAACCCTCTCCGCAGAAGGCCAAGGGATTGGTTGGCTTCCTTGGACGCCTTCTCGGCCTGACATGAAAAGCCAAGATCCACTTGTACTATCACCCCTAGATCGCATTAAGTAATAACACGCTGCAAACTTTGATCCCTTAACGCGTAGTTTCAAGTGGATTGATGGGGTATGCTCAATGTCTTACACGTGGTGGCGTTGAACTGAAGCAGGTTCTGAGTCGCCCATTTGTATACCCTAGCAAAAGTTAACCTGAAGCGTTACGTGGTCGCTCTTTGTTCTGATGAACCGCCATATCTTAAGATCATTAGCGAAGAGTAAGAAGTTGGAAATGATCACTCTTGCAAGATCGTTTATGTAAACCAGGAATAGGCGTGGACCAAGCACTGAGCATTATGGCACACCGGACTGAAAATCGATAGGATCAGGGATCGCGCTTCGAACTCTCACTTGCAGATGTCGTTGAAGCAGAAAGTATCCTAACCACCCGACAATTGGGTTAGCAATTCCAAGGCTCTGAAGCCTGATGTTCAGGCGGTCGAAATCCTTTGAGAAGTCCAGATAGACTACGTCAACTCCCACACCGAGTCCAACTAGAGCGAGCGAACACTAGGTTTGAGGCTTAAGACCGGTTCTGGCGAAACCCATGCTGTTCTAGTGCTAAGAGTTTGCATTCTTTTAAGAAATTCATAAGCGCATCAGGAATACCAAACATTATGAATCTGAATAGCACCGGCAGGAGAGTAATCGGGGGATAGTTGGCTAGATCTGCGCAAATTAATCCCTTTTTGAAAGCGAGTGACGAATCCATGTTTCAATATTGTGGGAACACACATCTCGAGATATCGTTGGAGGGACCTAGAGAATGAATCCGCCAAATTCAATGCAGCTAACTTCAACAGATTTTGTCAGATGTTATCAACACAGAGGGAGATATGCTCGCGTAGGTAGTTTAGCCTTTTCAGAACATCTGTAGCCGTAAATGAGATGTGACTGGTGAGGGGATAACTTGCAAGAATAGCATAGATGACGAAGCCATGTTCTGGGTATCTGCAAACAATTGATGGCGTAGGGCGCTGGCCTTTTCCATTGTAGTTTGTGTTTGTACTTTTAGTGTGTGGAGGACTGGAATACCATGCTGCACTTTACGGAGTTTGTTAACATGTCTGTAAAGTACCTTGGAGTGTAAGGAGGATTTAACGGTTAGATCCTGTTGACGTTTTTGCTTATTCTTGCATACCAAGTTCACGCAATGATTTCGTTGGATAATGTAGGATTTCCATGCTTCGGCACCCAGTGACTCTTCGTCTTCTCGTCTGAGTGAATGTTTTGTGATCATACATTTCCGCGTCCTACTGCGTATGAAAGGCTTTACTCTCATCACGTACGGGGGGTATGCTTTGTGAAGTACTGGCTACGAACATGTTGAATTGATGAACAAAATCCTACCAGGCGACATCGGGGTATAATTTAGCAAGAAAGGACCAGTCAGTCGCATTAATGAGTGTGGTCAAAACAATGAACTCGGTACCAAGCTGAGAGACATCGGCGTTGTCTGCGGAATAGTTGTATAATAGATATAGTTATACAAGTGTTACATGATCGTTACGTCCCAAAGGACTAGCTTTCGATGACGGTTTGAGCATAATCTCGTTGTTTAACACGAGATCGAGGATACTTGCTCTGTTTGCCTCCTGAATCTTGTGGGGAGGTAAAGTGCTTGTAAACTGGCAATCCAATGATTAGGTCTTGCAATTTCAGTGACTAGATCAAGGGGTAGCTCACTGCGGTAAGAGAGTATTACACCGCCCCCTCCATTACGCTGATCGTTGCGCAGAATGGACGTTCCACGTAGTGCGATTTCGCTGTCCGTGATCACTTCACTCAACCATGTATCGGTTACCAAGATGAGGCGCTGCAACATGGTAGCCTGACGCAGCCGAAGCTCTATCAGTATGCAGAGAAGGCCATGTGCATTAGTATAAAAGCTAGAGAGTGCTTTATATATTCGTATTGGGCTGGTGGACGTTAAGTTTGTTTTTAGTTTTGAGCCGACCATTCGTCAGTCGGCGGCTAATCGCCTTTTGAGTGGGTCATTGGCTTTTGACTTTTGATCAGGTTGCATGGTAGCGCAGAGCGTTCCAGATAGTGATGTTCTCTGTTTTGTCAGATGTCATGAGTGCTACTGTGCCTATCACAGTGCAAGACTGTGGAGGTAAACGTTTTACTTCGCTTGCATGTTCCAACGAAGTGCTGCCCACTCGTGGCCGTGCACCTGTTATCTTCAGCCTAATCTCGGTTGGTAACCTAGAGTTATGCTTCAACCATTCATCCAATAAAACTTCTGTTATTCTTTCAGAGTGTAGCACCTTTGCAATATTTTTGGACCGCAACCCTTGGAGACAAAGGAATTCTCCGTAGTGATTTTTCGACTACGTCGTCCAAGGAGGTTGTTGCCCAGATGCAGCACCATTGATCACGGTCATGCGTTTGCGCTCCGTAATCATGAGAAGCAGGTAGTTTAGGAACACCGTGAACAAATACGGTCTTTTGCCTTCGTTCCTAGAAGGGCCTCCAAGGCTTTCTTTTTACTTTGATCGTCCTTTCCAAGGTATATCTGGTAGTATGCGGATCTCGCTCTAGGAGTTGCTAAGGCGAAATGCTGAGAGTAGGACGATTTCTGTCTCCTCAGTTGAGTTCACTTTTACTCAAAGACATCAAGGTTCACCGTAGTGCACTGAACTTAAGTGATGCGCTACTCGTTTTAGCACAGTGGTTTAATCAGGATACCAATCGCACCCCAGATGGAATCCCACTGGTTGTGAGCATCTACCATCTTTTCTCAGATCTGGACCCAGGTACATTAGAGCACAGGACTGTTAACGCAATGTGGTTCTATTTAAGAAATGTCGGTTTGAGTGTTGTGGTGGGTAACTTGGCTTTTTTAGCGGAAACTAAAGAAGGTTGCGAAAACAGCGTCGCGTCGCTCGTGCTGGGTCCAGAAAATAGGCGTATGTGTGTCCCTCTGAGCACATTTATCGGGGTGACGAATGCGCATGTCACTCGGCTCTGGTGTGCTGGTGCTGTGACCAACTCGTCAGGTGTGGCATCCAGGGATGAATGAATAGCAGTTACCCCGGTTGTGGTTTGCCCACTTAGGGGGTTAATATTAGTGGAAGTGATTGGCGCAGATGCCGTTGGACGGTTAGCAATACTGACTTTACCCCTCAAATAAGGGAGAGCTCTGAGGGGCTTGCTGTAGAACAAGACCGGTGTTGTTAGACGCTAATGGCAATGCTGTCAAGTTCGACATCTGCTGAATAGTTTCAGTAAGCGTTCCACACATTTTCGCGAGCATTATTACAAAATGAACCCACGGGATTGTTCTGCATGATTGGCAAAATCAGGGCGCATTGTTCAGGTTGATTTGTCTCTTACCTACTACTTGGCTTGCCCCCGACAGCGGGGGTGAAACACAAGGACGCAATTTACATCGGTAAGGCTTCTGCTGACCCCTCGTGCACATTTTGGCTTACTGCATTTGCGGTTAGGCGGAATTAATTCCGTTGAGGGCCGTCGTTACCCTTGAGCGCTGCAGTTGTCCGGTCATGCGAGGTAGAGAGCGAGGGCTCCTCAGGTTCTTTGTCGCACGCTCAACCTCGGTTACCGGAGGTGATCGTGTTACGAAAAGAACTCGTATATACGCAGTATGGCTAGTTTCTTGAACCTCATTTGCTCCTCAAGGGCAGGGCGGTTGGAATTGTCCTATAGTGTGAATGTCAGCTTGAGGTGCCGTTGATAAACGAGTGTAACAGAAACCACAGATCGAGTCGTAGCCTCGTTAGAAGTGATCTTATGTAAGAAATTATGGGACCAGTCGATAGTTCAGAGAATCTTTGATCGACCACAGTGTGACAGCAATTAAAAGCTGTAAAAACAACACAATACCGCGCCT